CTCACTGGATTTTTTATCTCCCCCTCTGTCTCTCTCTGGTGAGTGCATGTGCCCTCTGACAAAAAAAAAAAAAAAAAGAAAAAAACAAAACAAACAAACAAACAAAACACTGTATCTATATCTATCTATCTATCTATCTATCTATCTATCTATCTATCTATCTATCTATCTATCTAATAATCAAAATGTTTTGCTTTCTCATACCTGCATATCCTCTTCCTCTTATCTGGTATGCTTCATCTTGGCAATAGCTGTTCATCCTCCAAACCTCAGCTCAGACCTCAGTCTGTTCTGCTTCCTGTGATGTCTCCAGCCCGGAATGGGTGCCCTTCACTGCTCCTGTAACACCACCTGCCCGCTCCTTGTTAGGGAAGGAGGAGGTATCTCTGCCCCTGAAACAGGGAATAGCAGCCTTGAATGTACTGAATTTGAAGGATTTGTAAAATGTCCAAGTTTTTTTCCAGCCCCTTGCTGTATTCTCTTTTCTTTTCTCCTCATGCATGGGAGGGGAGCTGCTATTTTGATTCATTGGACCAATTGCACCAATAGAAAGAGACACTATCAAAAGGTAATATGCAATCATACATGCCCCTTCTCTTCTTCTCACTGCTGCTGGGAATGTGGCAGGCTGATCTTTCTTATCCATGTGGCTGTTTGGGTAAATGGGTTTGGGAGTCCGCCCCTGCCACTCTTCATCAGGATGCTGAGATACAGGGATCCTCTGGAGGTTTGGGCCTCAGCTAGGTGCCCTGACTCAGCTTACCAGGGCATCCCTGTATTTGACCTCCTTGGATGCTCAGCTACCTGGCTCTTGATTGTAGGTATCCCATCAGGAAACTGCAAAGGGAAACAGGATGAGTTGGAAGGTTCTAGTACCTAACTACACCCCGAACCTCTCTCTCCCATGTTTGCACTTCCAAAGATGCACTTACTGATCTGTCTTCCTCATTAGATGGGAAAGTCTTGGAAAAGCTATTATTCATCTTTGTATCTTTGATGGTTACTATAATGTCCACTACACAGTAAGTGCTCAGAAATGTTAGGTGAATGAATGTACAAGTGACTGAGTGAATGAGTTTGGATATTTTTGGACTTACTTCATCTGTTCAACCTCTGGCTATTTTGCCTGTGTTCCTGACAGGTAGACCTCAATATTCCCTGCACACATTCACTTCTCTACCTGAGTCCAGCCAGCTGGTGATCTCACCCAAAACATTCTCAATCCCAGCTCAACATTCACATTCTCTATTTAAGCCTTTCAACCAGCTCTGCCCACACGCCTTTCCTTTACTAAACACTTCTCGCACAATTAGTTTAGTGCCTTGTTATTCTCTAACTTGTTTTAAGTGTGCCAGAGTTTTTTCATAACTAGATCATATATTACCTGGTTTCTGCTTACTTCCAGAAGACCCTGCGGTAAAGTTTGGATCAGAGGAGCTGCCGTATCTAGTCATACTAACTTGAACGAGGTGGGATAAATCACTTACTTTACCCATTTTCCTCATTTGTGAGCGTTGAGGAAATACTCATATGCTTACCTGTGTTGGGGTCATTGTATGAACCAAAATGTAATCGTCCCATATAAACTGACTGCTGCAGGGATGGAAGCACTCCTCAGTGACAGACTCACGAGAGAGCTCCAGGCCTCCCAAGACATGCCAAACATGTGCACATATGCCTGTGGTCCAGGCTGACTAGGACAGGGGGAAGATTGTGGCTTGGGGACCCTGTTGTTTGTCCCATTTTCTGTCTCCTTCATGGAAGAAGTGGACAAATGAACTTTTTTTAAAAATTGACATCCGCAGTGATTAGCAGATGGCACAGTGGTTACATTGCTGAACTCCCACGTGGCCAACTGCAGTTCAAGTTCTGAAGCCAGTGGCTT